CATATAAAAGGTGAGTAATTTTCATAGCTCTTGGAGAAATCTGAATTCCCAATTCAAGCCCCTCTTGATTAATTGCATTTGATAAGAGTTGTGAACATATAATGAATAAATAGGGGGGTATAGAACATCCTTATCGAAAACCACTTTTAGCTTCAATTCATTTAGTGTTCTTACCATTCAAAATGATAAAAAATCTCACATTCACAACACATTCCATAATAAGATTAGAAATCATGGTTCGAAATCCAAACCATTTTAAAACATTTTACAAAGCCAACCATCCCATACTGTCATAAGCCTACTCCCTATCCAATTTGACCGCCATCAAACCATTCTTTTTTTTTTTAATTATGAATTTATTACAATTTTGATGAGCTAACAACAAATGATCAAATATAGATATTTCTGGAATGAATGAAACTTGTTTTTCAAAAATAATTTTAGAGATACAACACTTCAATCTATTCACAATCATAGTTATAACAAACTTGTAAATAGTTTGACAAAGACTAATTGGACGTAAGTTAGGTGGCAATACCAGATTTTTTAATTTTGGAATAAGAACTGTCATGGTATTCTTCCAAGCTTCATGCATCACACTAGTCTTGAAGAAACCATCAATTGCTTTCTACGTTGCATCGTTTACAATCTTCCAATAGAACTTGAAAAAAGAAGCAGTGCTTCCATCCAATCCAGGAGATTTGTTACTTCCTTGCTGAAAAACTGTTGTAGTAAACTCCTCCTCAGTGAATTTTGCAGTTAACAATTCAATTTCACCTGAATTTATTCTTTGTTCTTCTTTAACTGTTGGCCAATTCAGCAAATTACAAGTTCTGAAATGTCAATTCTTCTAAAAAAATCTTAGAAAAACAGCTTCAATCAGCTCCATGTCTTCCACTAATATATTATCTTCATCTTTAATTTGTCCAATAAAATTCCCATTTCTTCTAGAAGAAGCATAATCATGAAAGAATTTTGAATTAGAATCACCTTCCACAATCCAATTTGCCTTGGCCCTTTGATTCCACCATGTAGACAATCTACCTAAGGTAGCATTAAGCCATGACTTTGCCACAAAGCAATTTCAATTTCTCTAGACTAACCCATCCTTCACTTTCTTCCTCCAATTGTAACTTCAAAATGTCATCTTTCAATTCTTCCTTAAGCAAGCTTAGTTTTTTGCATTTGTTTTTATTCCAGTAATATAAAGCCTTTAGAGTTCTTCAAAGTTTCCTGTAAGAATATCAGCTACATTACCAAATTCTTTTTTTTCCCAAGCCTTAGTAACAATACTCCATGTAGCAAGGTAAGACTTCCAAGTATCTTCAAATTTGAAATTCTTAGAATGGAACCATTGCACCTCATCAAATTTAAAAACAATGGGACAATGATCAGATGACACCCTTGCTAGATGTTTAATCATTGCCAATGGGGCCATTTGCAAGGTATGCAAATTCAACAAACATCTGTCAAGTCTTTCCCAAATTCTAGCACCACGTTCTTTATTGTTACACCAAGTAAACCTTGGTCCAACAACACCCACATCATGAATGTCATTATTTTCCATAAAAAATTTCATTTACTTCGAACCTTGAGACATAATAAATCATTTTCCACCCCTTTTATCTTATTTGGATAAAAGACAATTAAAGTCCCCTCCCACTATGGGAGGAACACTTCCCACAACAAGCCTCTCAAGACTTTCCCAAAGGCTCCTTATAGCATGAAACTCCTCATTCCCATACTCCGTATAAACATTCCAGCACCCCCTACTATCAGTATCAAGAACCTCAAAAACCAATTGGGAAGAATGCTCCACCACTCTAAAAGACACATCATTCTTATCCCAAAGCACCAAAATACCACCAGAAGTACCTTCCTCCGGATGATGAAAAAAACCCAGTCACTCCCATTAATTCTATTAACATTACTTCTATCAATACTAGATAACGTGGTTTTAGATAACCCAATAAAGAAAACATCATTATCTTTCACCATCTCTCTAAGATATAGAGAGGCTTCCTTCTTTTTAGCCTCTCTATATTTCCAAAACACAAATGAAGACATTAATTACATAAAGGGGAAGAGTCCCCACCTATCTTCTTCACATTTCCCTTCTCCCCTTCTTTTTATAGGAATAACTTCAATTGGTTCCAAAAGTTTAAGCTGATAATTTAATTTTTGTTTAGTAACACATGGCATGCCATTATTAGAAACCAGTTATTCTTTCACTCCAAATTTAGCAATTGTAACATCAGAATTATTTCCTTCAGAAGTAGGAGTAACAACAACTTTAAATTTTCTATCATTATTTGAAGAAGTTGTAAGTTCAATTATATCTTCATTAGGATCACTAGAACCAACATCAACTAGACCTGAATCTTTATTTATAGGATCATTCATATTTTCAGGAATATCATCATGAATAACAACAGGTGCATCTTCAATATCTTCAGCCAACATATCAAATCTGTTCTCCACACAAATATCAGGCTTTAAACTATCCCAGTTTTTATTCCCTTCAATATTTTTTTTCCACATTCTCCACTCTATCATATTGAATATTATTCTCAGATTGTACTTCATAGGATTTTTGATTGACAGCCTTCTCCTTATTCAATTCCTTCAGTTTGAACCACCTTCCCTTCTCCACCTCTTGAATATTTTATTTCTAAATTTCACATGCATCCATGGTCCATATTCCTCCTTTTGATGATTAAAGATTGAAGCTTCATGATCCTCAAATGTAAATTCCAACGAGCTTTTGTTAATACCTTTAGCATTATCTTCTTGAGCATGAAGTACATTGCATTATGATTTCAAATGCTGAATCTTAACACAATGAAAACAAAATGAAGTAATCTTCTCATATTCAACCTTTTGAAAAAATCTCCCACCCAATCCATCAAACCAAATTCCCAGAGGTAATTTGGATTCAAAATTAATACGAACACAAGCACGGGAAAATTCCCTCTTTCCCCATTTAAAGGAATTTCCATCTAAATACATAAGTGTTCTAACTTTTGAATCAATTTTAGCAATATTAACTTCATCCCAACAGTACAAATGTAGAAGAGGCAAACGAATCCAAACCGGAGTAGTTAAACCTTTTAAAGATAACGGTGAAAAAAATGGAGACCATTTGTCTATACCTACAATGTGACCCCCAACTTACCATGGGCCACCACTGAGAACTTCTTACATAACTTCGGCTGACTTAAAGGAATATATGATCCAATCCAACCCCAAAGTTGTTAAGTGAAAGTTGCCAAATTTGCTCCATTGCCTTCTAAACTCCTCCATGCTACACACGAGAAAAAGGGATATTAAAAAACACTTACATATAAAACACATAAAAAACATAGATAAAACACAATCAAAGCATATATAATGCTAAATAAAAGCACAATGAAAGCATAATAAACAGTAAAGTGAATTTCTATAGAATTTTATTAGTATTTTTAATAATTTTGAAAAGACATACAATTTCAAAAATTTTCCATATAAAATTAAACTATATTGAACACTTATTGATAAAACACAACAAAAGTGCAACTAAGCTGCATTGAAAGCAAATTAAAAGACCAGCAAAAGCACAGTAAAAGTGCAATAAAAGAGCTTTTAAGAAATATTTTCTAAAAAATGACATCTGTGTTTCGCTACGCTTTTACTGCACTTTTGTTGCACTTTAGATTCACTTTTACTCTTTTATTAGTGTTAAAACTTTACACCATGATCTAAAGTACTATATTTTGTAAAAAATATTTCTAGCATGAGCTAAAGTAATACTTAGTGAAAAAAGGTTAGTAGCATGAACTTAATTAAAAAAAATCAAATTTTATTACAAGAAATTTAATACAAATATTAAGTTTAATACAAAGTTATATTTTTTTAATAAACAATCATTAGTCATTACAATTAAAAGTAATTACAAGTGCATTTTTGAAGAAATAACATCCACAATCATTCTAATGTACTTAGTGTTGAGTCCAGTAAATTGCAAATCTTCTGAAATTGTTAGGAGATAACTATACATTTGAACAATAATGTTTGGAATCATCAAAACTACATAAGTTGCATAAATATAACTCATTCAAATAGCAACTATTCAAACACTTAGGCCCTAGCTATCTGGTTATTAATTCCTGAATGAAGAATTCGAGCATGCTTGAGAAGTTCATTTGTGTTGAAGGATTTTCCTTTTCTACTGTTTTTCACTTAGGGTAGGTTTCTCTGTTGAAAAAATTAGGCTTAGAAAAATATATATTGCCTCATCATATATAATGAAAAGAAAACAACGAGGATATTAAATCTTACTCTTAGGCTTCTTCTTCTTTTCTCAATGGCCCTTTAGTCTTACATTAGTGATTTCTTTAGGCCTACTCTTTAGTTGATCTTTTTTTTTTTTTGCAAAGCCACCTTATTTATTTCCAATAAACTTATGGATTTTTATCTTGCCATCTAAAATCAAGTATATATTTTTCTGCCATGTCTTTCAGAATAGTAAACATGTACTGCTCAGCTTTGATGTGATTTTCCTACACACTTGTATGCCCTTGTACTGATCATTATTGTGCTTTTTCTATACAACTTTGTTTAAGAACTTTGACAAATTAAAAAAATTTGAAAACCCTTAAAACAACCTAGGATGAGATAGAAATTTACTGACAAGTAGAAACCCTCAGTAGTTCTGACAAAATTAACTTCTGATTCCTAAACATTTCCATACATCCTTTCATATTCGTGTCTTGTGAGAATTTCATCTCCACAAATATAGCAACATTGTTCCTCGTGTATTTCTTTCGGAACAATATCAGAAACCCTAAATATTTGAATTTGAAAAATTTTAAGAATTTTTTCCTTAAATTGAACGTCAACTTTAAACCTTCTTACAAAAAGTGTAAGTCGGTTTCGATTTCTAGAGAGAGAAGCTCCCGCTTTGGTTTCTAGAGAGAGAAAGTTTGAATCTTCGGGTTTTCGCAGTTTTTCTTCTTCCGGCCATGGCGGCCTCCAGCCGTCCGCCTTCCGATCCTCCTGATATGTTTCCCTGTGCTGTTCCTCTGAGTTCTTCTGAGCGTTCATCTCCGGCGCGACCATCTGTTTTGGGTGATCTTCCGATTTCAAGATCGGAATTTAAACCCTTAGTCATTAGGGAAAGATCTGATTCTTGTGTTCTGTCTTACCTCAATCATCCTCTGATGGAAAGGGTAAGGGTTTGATCGATCCTTTGGCTTCTGCTTTTAGAAGCAAGGATAGAAAGTTTACAGATGATAACTCTGTTGCGTCGAACTTAATCTTTGGTTCTTTGGAGCATGGTGCTCCTGTTTCTACGAACAAGAACGCTAATCTTAATAATGAGAGAAATCTTCCTGATTGCTCTGATATTCACAATATTTCATCCAAACCTTTGGATCCGGTTAACGATTCTATTAATCTCTTTGACTCTGTTTCATCAGAAACAAAACATGTAGATGAAATAGGTAACCCGAAGGCCTCCTTTCTTAATGCTTGGTCTAAGCCGCAGCGCATTAAATTAACTTTGATTCAAACTCCACTGTTATGTCTTCTGACGGGATAGCAGTTAAATTGAATACGGATCAGGAAATCAACAATTCTCAAATTCTTTCTAATTCAGTGGTGATGAAGGTTTTGGGAAAGAACATTCCATTCTCCACTTGTAGCATTGAGTTACGCAAGCAATGGAAAAGGTTTGGTAATTTTCATCTAACCTCCTTGGGAATGAATTGGATTCTTTGTTCATTTAAATCTACTACATCCATGGAGGAAGTTCTCAGTGGGGGGCCTTGGTACATTGGAGGACATATCGTCGGCTTGGACAAATGGTCACCCTCGTTTTCTCCTTTATTTTTAAAAAGGACTAACTGCACCTGTCTAGATTCGCTTCCCGCATATGCCTTTGTATTGATGGAATGAAATTAACATTGCCATAATAGCTTCTAGAATTGGTACACCCTTGTTCTTTGATGGTAATTCTTTTAGTTGAAGCAAAAAGGAATATGCACGAGTTTGTGTTCGTATAGACCTTGAAACCAAACTACCCGCGGGTATATGGGTTGATGGATTGGGAGGCAGATTTTTTCAGAAAGTAGAATATGAAAAACTATCCTCTTTCTGTTTTAATTGTGCCAAAATTGGGCACTTGAAACTGATATGTCCAGATCTTTCAACAGCCAAGACAGCTGAAATCAATAAAGCAATGAATGAGAATGTTATGCAAGCTGAGGTCTTTCAGCAAGGATCAAATAAATCCCCGGGCTTGGATGGTTCTACTTCTTCATTCTTTAAATTCTATTGGGACATCGTCAAAGACTCTACTTGGAGAGCTGTCAAGCAGTTTTTCACTACTGGATGCATGAACGGTGATTGGAAGGATACAATGATTGTTCTTATTCCAAAAATCAACTCTCCGGTAACTCCTTCCAATTTTTTTCCAATTAGCCTTTGTCAAACTATATATAAAATTGCTGCCACAATGTTAGTTAACAGAATTAAGATTTGTATTCCCAAGCTCATCTATGAGGAGCAAGTTGCCTATGTTCCGGGTAGATCCATGTCAGACCACTGCCTTCTTTCTTTAGAGATCTTTAACAAGTTCAGGATTTCAAAAAATAAGAAGGGTTATATGGCTGTCAAGCTTGACATGGATCAATATTTTGATAGTATGTGTTGGAAAACATTGGATAATGTTCTTTCCTGGTTTGGTTTCCCAAAAAAATTCTAAATCCTCATTTTGGAATGTGTCACTAATGTTCGGTTCTATATTCTTTTGAATGGTAAAGGAACTAGATGGATTGAAGCCAAGAGTGGCTTTAGGCAAGGCTGCCCCATGTCGCCTTATCTTTTCATCATGTGTTCACAGCTTCTATCTAGTTTAATTGAGCAAAGAGGCCTTCAAATTGGCATCCAAACTTCTTCCAGAGCTCCAAAAATTATGCACCTACTCTATGCCGACGATATCTTGCTGTTTGGGTCTGCTACCACTTCTCAACTTCACGTGATGATGAGCTTAATTAATGAGTATTGTGGCTGGATTGGGCAAGGCATTAATCAGAACAAGTCTCAAATCATCTTTGGGAACTCTTTTAAGCCATCCTTGAAACGCAAGCTTGGAAAAAAATCTGGCTTCAAAACTGTCAAAGAGCTTAATTACCTGGTTATTAAAATTGCCTTGAGGAGACTGGTCAAGAACGACTTTCATTTTGTAATTGATCATGCACTAGAGAAGCTCAATTCTTGGGGAGCTCGTTTTCTATCTATTGCTGGAAGGCTGACTCTGGCTAAATCTTCCTTACTCTCACTGCCAACTTTTGTTTATTCCTTAATCCCCAAGAAAATTCTGTATGAGCTGGACCGTATCTGCCGTGATTTTATTTGGCACCAGAATTCTGAAACTAAGGGACTACATTACATTGCTTGGCATGAGTTATGTATTCCTAGAGCTAGTGGAGGCCTGGGCATGCATTCTTCTGTTGTGAGAGTTGGTCCCTTAAGAGCTCGATTAGCTTGGAGGCTATACCAGAACCCCACTTCTCTGTTGTTTAGGTGCTTGACTGCTAAGTATGGTTCCGCCATTTGGAGTGGTAAGACTAAAAAAGGCCATTCTGCTGCCCATTCCATTATTTCTAATGGAGTTTCCTTTCTTAAACCTATAGTTAGGTGGAACATTGTTAATGGTGCTAACATTAGTGTCATGAATGACATTTGGTTGCTAGATAAATGTTTCAACAAATGGCCTACACTTGCTGATTGTATTGGTTTGGAAAGTCTAACGTTACAAAATTTTATCCTTGATGATGGCCATAGGAATTTATTGGTGCTCAGCCGTTACTTCAACACTGATTTGGTTAACCTCATTATCCACCAATGCGTGATCCATGAGGGGGATGGTGATTATATGGAGCTTCTTTACCAGCATTCTGGTAAGTCTATTACTTCGTTGGCTTATTCTGAAGCTATCAAGTTTCATAAAACCATAGATGATTATGGGTTTGCAAATTGGCTATGGAAATTGAAGCTAAAACCAAGGATGGCACTCTTTTGGTGGAGATTAAGTAGGTTTGCTATACCTACGAATGAATTCTTGAAATATAGAAAGCTCAGCATTAGTGATCACTGTGCTTACGGTTGCCCTGCTATTGAGAACTGTGATCATATTCTGATTCATTGCAAATCTTTATCTGAAATCTTATGCAAGTTGAGATCCTGGGGAATAATTATTCCACGGTTTAGCTCTCTCACGAATTGTTTCCAGCATTTAAAAATACTTTCCAGCACTAGTTTAGACACTGTTAAGCTTTACCGCACTGCGGTATACTATTCTTGGAATTGCAGGAATGATAAAAAACACTGTAATCCAGCTATTCCTGTTCCTGTGATAGATGCCAACGTCTTATTCACTGCTACAAGCAAATTTCCATTGCTAGTTAACTGGGATGCTAATCTCCTTAGGGAGTTCGTAACTTCATGGCATCCCCCACCACTAGACTGGATCAAAATCAACGTTGACTCATCACTGCTGGATTCAAATTTGGCCAGTATTGGTGGAGTGGCTCGGGACTCCAAAGGTTGCTTACTTCTTGCATTTGGAAGGCAAAAACTTCATTGGGATATTAATCAACTTGAAATGGAAGCTGTTTTCGATTTAAAGGACTTCGTTCAAGACTGGAAATTCGATTGTAAATGATTAATAATAGAGGGTGATAACTACAACGTTATCAAGTATCTTCATGATACCGTGACTAAGCCCAACGCCTCTGACCAGGTTTCCTAGAAGATTAATTTCCTCCACGACTTCAACAAGGTTATTTTCCATCACATATCTAGGAATTGCAATAAAGTTGCTGATTTGTGTGCAACTATTGCTTTACAGTATAACTTTTGTTTTGATTCTTTTTCTCATTATATTCCTTATACATTATCTAGTCAACTGAAGAAGGAATATGAGGTTGCTTTTTCTTGAGTTGTTTGTAATAGTTTTGATCTTCGATTCTTAATGCAATTTTGCAATTCTTAAAAAAAAAAAAAAAAAACAAAAAGTGTAAGTCAAGAACGCGGAACTATTTTAGAACTTCGCAGTTCGTACCAAATAATTTCTGATAGGCCAGCCACTAGGCATGCGGGACTCGATTCGCACGCATGCCTGGCCACTGATTCCACCGTCGGTCACACGTGCGAACCGTCTCGCGAGCGCTGCGACGTCCGCTCCCCTCTCTCTCTCCCCTTCATTTCAGTCTACAACCGAGGGAAGTCGTTCCCCCCACACGCAAATCCGGTGAATCCACGTCTCTTCTGCTCCATTCTTATTACTTTATCTTCTGGCTGAGTAAATCTGGGGTTCTACCTACCTTGCGTCCACATTCCTGCATTTCATTGTTCATCGCGTTTTTTCTGAATCACTACACACATCGGATGCAGGGTAAGCTGCTGTGAGCATTCTTGAACAGTTTTCAGCCTATGCTGCTGAAGTTTCTCGCAGATTGCGTCGAATTGGTATAGTAGAATGATTAACTTAGCTGGTTTTGTTCATCTGTACTATCCATTGCGCCTGTTGCGTAGATTGTTCTGTACAGGATTGAAATTCGGCATATTAATGTCCTCTGTCACAACGTTGGGTGTGTTTAAGATTTGTCCGAGCTATCGTGCGGCGTGACTGTGTTGTTTGTTGGTGGGCGCACTACCTCTTGTAAGTTTATTGTGGGGAGAGAGGGTATTCAGGGCTTATTGAATGTTTATGAGTTCTCCTCGTAAACTGTAGTTAAATTTATGCTGGTAAGTGGGAGTTTCTTGTGAAAAACCGGGTCAATTGGTTCAGTTAAGTAAGCAGGGGTTTTCAGGCTATTTCCATACATTTCGTAAAAAACATGTAAGCATTATTCCTGAATCCTACAAGGTTCTAAGTCCAGTTAAAGATAATTTTTTCTTGTCTGAACTTTGTTCCTCTACCTTATGCCATCTTCTGAAGTGACAAGTTGAAGATAATGTTTTCTTGTCTGAACTTTGTTCCTCTACCTTATGCCTTCTTCTGAAGTAACAAGCTGATCATCAAAACAGCTTAAAACAGTTTGGACTGTTAGATGTACTTGCAATGCTTCCTTGACGTGGTCGAATACAATTTTTATTGTTGCAAACTGAAAATTTTTTTAGCATCAGCCAGAAGGGTCCAAACAAGTTTATTGGTGCAAATAAAAAATTTCTTTAGTATCAGCCAAATGTGCAGAGGTGGTCAACCTCCTGAGGTTTCCCCAAAAAAATACAGGAAATGATTCTAGCCTTAAAGATAAGTGCAGTGAAAGCATTAAAAAACATTTAATTTATGATCTAATTATGGTATTTGGAGTTCTTTGTAAAAATTGTATGAATCATTATTATCTACCAGAACATCACAATTATTTGAAGGTTAAAAGAGTGCATAATTGGTATCAATTACTAATGCTTCGTTTGGGACGGCTTGTTTACTGCTTCTTAAAGCAGCTTTCTGTTACAAAAGTTTTAATTTTTGTACTTGAAAGTTGCTTTAAGAAGCAGGAAGAAAGCCGTCCCAAACGAAGCCTAAATGTTGATTGTATTCTTCTTTTGATCCCTTTGGCACTCTTAGCTCAGCTTGTACAATTGCGAGGTAACTGTGTTGAACCCTATCATGTGAAGGAGAAGCTCTAATTTTATTTCAACTGTGTTTGAATTAATCTTGATGAATCAGAGATATCTGTGTCCATCTATGAGAAGCTGCTTATATGCTTCATGACATTGAAGGGAAATAAAGCTAGTCATATCACTTAGGAGAATGCTAATGTTGATGATGATGATATGAGCTTATGTTATCATAAGCTTGTTGCATGTTAAGGTGAACTTTTGCATCTTAATGACTATATTTTTTTCAGCATGGAAAGCAAGCATTCTACTTTTATTAGATTAAATGAGAATTTGATTCTTAATAGGACACAATGTAGTAAAAGGATACATGTAGCCGAACCTACGTAGTGGGATAAAGACTTTTTATTGTTGGAAACAAAACAATATGCGGACCACATTTTATAATTTAATTACTTGGAAATAAGGCTCCCTCCAACAAATAGAAATTTAAAAAAATTGAGTCATATCTCCTTGCTTTTGGATCATCACACAAATTAAAATGATTGTTAAATTTATGTTTTCTAGTCTTCTATTTCCATTAATTTTTCAACGCATTTGATGAAGAAAGTTTTTATGTAAACCTTTCTGTAAGCTATGTTCAAACTTTGAAGGTCAAGTGTAGGTCATGGTAGCTTTTTTATTCATTTATAGTATGTTCTAATTTTTCAACGATGCTTTTTTATTCATTTAAATCTTGTCTCTAATTTCCACTTAAATCGATTCTTGTATGGTTATGGTAGCTTTTGCACGAATTAGAATAATTATTTCGGTATTAAGCAGTAGAAGCTTATAATCTTTTTGATTATATGCTTAGTAATTGTCTCATCCTTTATTTTTTTTCTTTTCTTTTCCTCATGTAAAGTTTCTTTCTTGAGCAGTTGGATGGTGATCATGACTATGATGGGTAATAACTATCTGCAGGCCACACCCTACAATCTTTTTTTGGAGGATTAATTTCAATTGCCTGTTGCATTTGACATGCATCTTGATGGGCTTGCATATGATCAACTATTGGAAACAGCAACTTGGTTCTATATTATTAGTTTATTTTGCAGTGAGGATAAACTGTGCTATCAATTCAGATGGTAAGAGAAGGTGGAATTTAAGTTAAAACCCTCATAGACATTTTCTTCCTCCTTTCCAGCCATGTGTGGGAATTAGAAACGTGTAACATTTTTTTTACAGGTGCAGCACTTCTTAGTTTTAAGTCAGCAATTGTTGGTTCTGATGGTATCTTTCTCCAATGGAATCAAGAGGATCCTGATCCTTGCAAGTGGAGAGGAGTGACATGCGACTTACATTCAAAGAGAGTAACTCATTTGTAAGTGCAGTCAGTAAACATACCTGTCTCTAGGCTAAACATAACCTTTTCACAGTGATTGTCCTTTCGATTGTGTTTGTTTGTGTGCATGAGTGACTTTTTGGCACTTTTTCTTTATGATTATGTTTATAAATTGTTCTTTTCCTTGGAATACACAAATCCTTATACTCGTTATATTGGGTAATTTACATGCATGACACTTAAATGTTACGGATTTACATATATGTCCTCCTTATTTGAAGAATAGAAGGTAAAACCTTTAATGTAGATTTAGCTAACATTACCATCTCCATCCTAGTTGAGATGCCTTTACCTCATTTTTAATTGCCGATGGATGCTAATAGGTTGTCACAGCCACATCCTTGCCTTGGTTTTTCAATGCTCTACAATGATGCCTCCTTGTCTATGTTGTTGCTCAATGATCTTCTATGGTGCGTGTGGAGAAAAAGATGTAGACTATGATAGAAAAATAAATAGAATTTCAGCTTACTGGCCTTGTTGATGTCTTGTTGTCATTGTCAACCAAACCTTAACTTCTACCATTTTTCATGCTAGGAGGCCAATTTTTACTAGTTTTGATTATTTTTCTATGCATTGACCATCTAAAAATTTGCAGCCTATGAAGGTAACTTAAGTTTGCTACGGTTTGGCAATATCAGACTTTGTTGTCTGTCAAGCATCACGAAACTTTCTTCGCACCTTTAGTGACAAGCTATGTAAGATTGAATGCGCCACCTCCATTATTTTAGTTATTAGTCTAGCCCACTGAGGTTAAACCAAGGGTTAGGCACTATACGATTGAATGTCCAGCCTGTGTCAATTATTAGTCTAACTTATTGAGATTGAACCAAGGGTCAGCCACAATGATAGGGTGTAATATTTGAAAGATGGAGCAAATTATGTGTTTTTACTTTTTTTAATCAAAACATGGTTGCTATTTATCTAAATAACATAGCTTAATGTTGCAACTAATTAAAAAACTCTTAGTATATTTCTTTTTAAAGAAGTTAGTTGCTATGTGGTTAGGCTAATACATTTGAATCATTTGTATTATATTTATTACGAAAAGCATCATTAAAATAAACCTAAATTTAAGTATTAAATTAGACCATCATCTTATATTTGGGTTAGACATAATTCATTCACTTAAAATGCCTTAAAAATACAATAGTCTAAAAAATAAATAGATTAATGATAATTGTGGTTAGACAAATGATATGCAATCTGATTGTGATACTTATATATAGAAACTTAAAGTATATCCTTGAGATATTTGATTAAGTATCATTATTGTGGTTTCTAGAGTCCATTGGAGGTAATTAATTGAAAATTTCCCCTCTTTTTTTTATGATTTTCTGTTTATTGCTACACAAATAAAACTTATTTAAATACCTTAAGAGTCCACCATCTTCTTGTGACAGATAATTTTAATGTTTTATTTCTATGTATAAAAATATTTGAATTATCTGTTTTGAATAGATTTTGGATATGGATAGGATTAGAATTGATTTCAAATTATTTGATGTTATCTTTGTTGTCTTACAAATTTTAATAGGGGTTCATGGCTTTTATTTGGATTATTACTTAAAATTGAAATATTAACTTCCTCTCCCTCTCTATTTATTGTTGGACTTCATATTATTCATTCTCATTCTTCTTTTATTACTAGCCATCCATCATTTGATGCCTCCCTAATCATGATCTAGCTCCTCATCCTGATTACCTATGGTCATGATTGAATGTATCGAATTGGGCAGTAAGATTTCAAAAGCATTCTAATCATAGTGTATGTGCACTTGTCCATAAGCACAATTGCCTACCCATGCGTTTGCATGCCATGAAAGTTTGAGTATATTGTTAAATCTAATACAATTGTCCCAAGGCTAACCAAGAGGGGGGTGAATTGATAATTTAAAATTCTCTTGAATTTTAGAAAACTGATTTAATATTTTCACAAAATATTTTTAACCACAATAATTTAAAGTACATAAAATAAAAAATACAGTAAAAAGTAAAAGAACAGAAGAATACCAAATTTTATACTGGTTTGGTCCAACTAGACCTACGTCCACTTCTTGAAGACTCCTTCAGGTATTGCACTAAAGCAAAAGTGACTATCTTTATGCTCACACAGCAAGGCGGATAAGCCCTTACAAAACCTCTCATCCACCAACCTGGTGCGGCAGAGTACCAACGTCCTTTCTCACCCTCCTTGTGTTGACAGAGTACCAATATCATTTCTTACCTTCCTGGTGATGGCAGAGTACCAACGTCCTTTCTCACCCTCTTGGTGATGGCAGAGTACTAACGTCATTTCTCACCCTCCTAGTGACGGTAGAGTACCGTTGTCTTCTTTGAAATTCTTCTCTCAAGAGCCTTCATGGAAGTAGGAAGAATCTTGAAGATTAAACAAGAGATCCTTACCTTTGGGCAACCTTGTGAATCCCCTCATAATTTTCTCTTAAAAGATCTCTCATCCTTCACTCCTAAAACTCTCTCCCAAACATTCTCCTTTTCCACTCTCAAAATAAATTCGTAGCAATATTATTAAAGTGTCAGTTTTTTAGGATACTTATATATGAAAGACAAGAAAAATTATCCGGAAAACTAAAAATTTCAACAGGAACGTACTCAGATCGAATAATTTGATTGCACTTCGTATGCACGAATAGTTCAAAAATTCATGTACGATCCTGTATGAACAAGATTTTGTATTATGTCAGTCGTCTGTACGAACTGACATAATACTGTACGAACAGTTCAAAACTGAACAAGTTCGTCCGGTATGATTATGTACGAATCCATTTCATACACTATGAATCGTCTGTACAAACCATGTATCGTACAATACAAACTGTTTAAACAACTCATGCTTCATTTGATACGAACATGGACGATTTCATTTCGTACTCTGAGAGTCGTTTGTACGAACCCAACATCATATAATACGATCCGTTCGAAAATATATGAGATCGTTTGGGATGAACTGGTATGCACCCATTTCGTACTCTGTGAGTCATATGTACGAAACATTACAAACAATTCAAAAAATGATGGGTTCGTTGGGACGAACTGTTACGTCCCCATTTCGTACTTTGTGAGTCGTCTGTACGAAACATTATCGAGTATGAAAATTGCAAAAAAAAATTTCCAGGCATGATTTAAATAATTTCATTTTGGAGAAATTACCATGACAAATCGTCTAGTATGATTTAAAAATCGTATAATATAATTAGTTTTAAAATATTAAATTTTGACACATTCCCCCAGTGTGTGTGCACAGTTATCCAATTACAATCATAATTTTTGAGACTCAAGAAAAATAGAAAAATAACAGGCTTTATTACAAGAAATACTAATTTAATCTATCTTGAAGTTTTCGATAGTCTGGAGTATGATTTTCCTGAAACATTAGTGCACACAAACAACACAAAGAAAATGTATCCAATGTATGTTAGGAGAAACAATAATCATAACAATAATATTTTGGTATCATCAAAAAGTCACATGATATAAAACTTAATCTTGAAATCTAAGATAATATTCCTATTTTTGATGATGATAAAATAATTATTATTTGAGTTAATAAAAAAGACAATTTTTCTCCTAAGCTTCCCCCTCAATGAATGATCAATTTAAAAACAAGAGATTCCAATGAAAATCAAAACAATAACAAATAAAAAAACATACATACCATAAAACACACACAATACACATATCACGTAAATCACACAAAAATAATCATACAAACATCAAACAATAACTAATGAAATACAACAAAACACACAATATATACATCATGTAAATCACATAAAAATAATCACACACACATCAAACAATAATTAATGACTCATCATTTTGTCAACAACAAAAAGGGAAGTACCTCTTGAAAAGATAATTTTCTTTTGATAAATTAAATAAATGATGAAGATAAAGATTTTAAATTATTTGCAAAGACAATATTAACTTCCTAATGCGAATAGAAATGTCTCAAATTTTAAATCAAAGAATAATTAAGATAAGAAAAGTCAACCAATTTCACAGTTCGTTTTAGACATATCAAATAAAAATAATTATTACGAAATTGATGAAATAAAGATTTATTAGTTTCTAATTCAATAGTGCAGTTTATTATTGATTAAATGAATTTGAATAAGAGATAGAAAGATAAAGAAAAGAACTTAATGAAACTTTCAATCGACAACATTGCACATCTTTTGAATTTTTGGCAACTTTCTGCTTCTTTTTAGTTTGGGCTAATTTTATGCTTCTTTTCACTTTAGCGAACATTACACATCTTTTTAAACTTGTGGCATATTTTGTGCATCTTTTCAAGCCTGATATGCTTTGTGCATCTTTTTATATTTTTGGTCTTTCCAATATCAAGAAATCTTAAAACAAATTCTAATAATTAACAAAAGTATACACATTGAAAAAAATAAAATAAAAATAGCACTTCTATTTTGAAATAATTATAATTAAATAATATTTATCTATAAGAATATTAAGATGATCTTCTAATCTACATTCAACCCTAATTTAATTTAAAATTTTGAGAAATTAAAATTTGCAAGGAAATTAATTTGTAGAGTAGAGTTTTTTAAATTTTATTCTAGAGATCAACTATATTTGATTAGTTTATAAAAACTTAAAGCAATTAAAGAAGAATAATTTCAACATAAGACAAAACATCATTCCATTAAGCACATGTAACACATACAACCAGTACATCATACCAGAAAGGAAAAAATACTACATAGCAAAGCCATCACATGAGATAAAAAAAAAACAAGACAATAATAAGTATAACAAAAAATCACAACTCAAATCCTGAGGGACCCTGGTTTGGAGGTGGCTAAGGGGTGAACATCGTAAAGTAGCTATTGATCGTAGCTACTTGAGTGTTGACATAGTCGAACTGTCCTCTAATCCACCCCATGTCTTTATTGTACCTCGCATCCTGCTGGTTTAGGTGAGTCTCAATTTGATCAAAATGTTGA